CTTTATTGTGAATAACATGACGTGTTGGAGTGTATACTTGCAAAATGTTGTGTTATTCACATTAGAGAAGTTCCATAAATTTTCTTTTCTTATGCATTCCACTTCTAAATGCCCTTCAAAGATATGATTAAAAGTTTTAAACACATAAACAAAGCAATATAAATATGCAACTATTTAAGGTATATGGAAAATCAAAGGAAGTCAAAACCCACACCATAGATAACATTTAACATTTTATATCATTAGCACAGTTAACATGCATATCCAGTTCTAAAATGCATATATTTTAAAGTTCTGATAATGAAAATTCCTCTGAACAAATTCTGTTCTTGTTTAGTTGTTGTCTAACTGTTTACATGGCTTGAGCCTGCACTCAGCAATATTCCAGTTACACAATTGTGGTCTGTAACTAAATGAGTTTGTGTCAGATTATCCAGTGATTGATAATGTGGACAACAAACCATGTTGGGACATGACACACTATTACCCAAATGTCAGAGCTGAGTATGGCCACCCGATTTCATTGCTTCGTACAACCATCACAGGTTGCTGGGGCCTATTGTAACCAAGAATCCCAACAGCGGAACCATATTCATAACAGAGAATGACATCTGCATGATCAGAGCTGATTAGAATTCATTTATGCAGGTGATATATGTATGCAAATAAGACATATGTTAATCACCTAAAGTGTTTTACAACCAACTCCTACAGGGAATTATGGGGGAGGTAACCTGTGACTGTCACTAATATCATCCTCATTTGGAGCATGATAAAACCTATAATGTTACACTAGGCTATAAATATGTTTCACCATATGCTATTAGATGCTAGTGGAGGCAAGGGTGATGATTTCGGGTGATGAATTATGAACTTATGCTGCGCCATTTTGCACCATGGAACTAGGTCTATGATCGAACATTATCATGTGATAAGCCTATTATGTGGTTTCATTATGCCATAAACAAACTTTTGATAACACCTCATTCAGTTCAATGGATACACTGACAATTTATTCACACATTTTCATATACACAACGTGCAAAACTATCCATATATAATACAACATGAGCAGAACATGGCAAAGACGCAGTTCATGACAAGTGAAAGTGACAGAAATGGTAGCCCAATTACGAAATTTGGAGCACATTGCCTGATATATGATCCCAAACCAAGTTGCATAAACCATCTCCCCCGTAATTAAACATATAAAGGGTATCACTAGTTCAAATACGCCTCATCATGGAGTGTATCAGCGCTCTCAAACCTACCGTATTACTGTGCAATGCCGGTCCGTGGCCATGACCATGTATCGTGTCTACGTGGGCAACCATTTTGAATCAATCACACTAGGGCAGAGTTACGTCCCTTGACATTTTCCGGGGAAAACGGTGGAGGCCCTATTTAGGATATATGGGGTGCTCGTTTAGGTTGTACTTGTTGTTGCTACTGTTGTTGTTGCTATTGTTGTTGTTGCTGCTACTATTGTTGTTGCCTTTTTATGTCACACACAGTAATATTCGTAACATAATCGTTATATTACAGCTGTGTGGAAATATTCGAGTATGTGTTAGTCAATCCAGGGACTGTCATTATGAGCATGGATCAAGATACAACGACCTGATACCCCTTCATCATTCACCCCATGAAGGGGCAAGAAGCAGCCCAGAAACGCCGTGTTGTAAATAATAAAGAAGTTGAAAATTCATACCATACCTTGTTATGTTATCTTCCAATTTCTACATGCCCATCAAGCATCTACAACGACGAACATCAATATACTCGAGCCTGACCACATGTCTCCAACAGTCGGTATGCAATATGCTGTATTGATGCCCAAACGGGTCCTGTACAGATTTTGCGGTGATGTGTATGCGTGGTTGTTGCTTATAATATCGATCTCTGGATTGTCTGGTCAAGACTTGATTATATTTCCAGACAGTCGTCACATGTACCCTGGTTATTGCTACGTGTGATGTTAAACAACAAACAAACAAAAATATACCCATCTTATCCAAACATGCGTCATGATGCACTGTAGTAGAATCTTGCTCACGTAAGAAGACGGACGATGGGGTAGCCGAATGTTTTAAAAGCGTCTGCTCGTCAAACTTATGACCCGGGGTCGATTCCCCACATTGGTGTGTGAAGCCTATTTCTGGTGTTCCCGGCCGTGATATTGTTGGAAGCGGCGTACATCCATACACACTCACCCATGCAAGACCAGAAAATAAAACTAGGCCTAGTATCGGTTTAACTGATGTAAGCATGGGAAAACCAATTAAAAGGTTGGTTCCATTTATTTACAAACGGTACGCAAGGATGATAGTTAATATGAGAGTTCTTACATTTGTGTTGGACTAGAGCTTCGTAGCCCAAGCCTGATGTTGACATGGAAGTCGATATTCTGTATCCATCGCTTCCACATATTCAATGGTACCGTTTTTATTATGTTGTAAGGGTCAATACAATGGAAGTTATGTTCACGGCAAGTGCCTCTTAATTCAAGCATGGTATCGACATGAATGTGATGCGTTTTGTGTTTATTGAACCACACTGTACACAAACAGCAAACCAAAGTTCAATAGAGCGGTAACAGCTTTTAGGAAAAGAAAGGGCGCATTCAATATAACATGCTATATGAATGTATCCAAATCGTGTATCCGAATCAATCCTTCGCTTGTTTTTTTGCTATTTGAGGCCAAAACGTTTTGGGTCCACAATCGGTAAAACAACATTTCAATTACAATATCTAACGAAGCGTAGTGGGTAAGCCCTATCTCGTCACGAATGCGCGGGTTCGATTCCACACAGATACGAATTGTGAAGGACATTTCAGGTGTCTCTGGCCGAGTTATTGCTGGACTATTGCTTAAAGCGTTCTAATCCCATACTCACTCACCGATTCTAACCATAAATAGTTATAGATGAAACTACTACAGGTATATTCTCACAGTGCGTGTCTCGCATTGCACCGACCTAGTTTTCCTAGACCCGTCTTGATAACCTGCTTGCTTTAGTGGCATAAACAACAGTGAGCTTAAATCGTTGCAAGACTATATTTTCATCAAGGGACGCGAACATTGTTTGTTTGATATTGGATACGAAAAAATAAATGGGTATGGCAGCCAGCCAACTTGCGTCTACAACATTGTAATTTACGAGAGTCAGCGGCATGACCTATTGGGCACTTGGGACACCAGCTACCGTGAGTCGTTGCCTGCTGCACTGCCGTTGTATGTGAGGGGAGCGTCGTATTCAATGCTTGTATGCATGCTCCGATACCAGCTGGTCATGTTTGTGCACGATCGTTCTGGGCTATCAATATACCTCACTGGCTAACATACCAGTATAGCGATCCCACTTTTTGTTGAACTCATTCGCCATCAATATCAAACATGCGTCAGTCAATGTATCACAGGCCACCTGCAAAACACCGAAACGACATAATGCATTGCGAACTGCTTATGAACACGATAAAGTAAGCTGACGGGCAAAAGAAAGTACATGCCATATTTGGAATTATTCTTTCTCAGTAAAGTAAACATTCTAGTACTTTTGTTGGGGTAAGTCCCATCCGGTGTGGGTTGGAATCCTGGATGGGACATAACCCAAGAAAAGTACTAGAACCTGTACTTTACTGAGAAAGTGTAATCACAAATATAATGTGTTACACTTGGCCACTTTCTAAATGGCATTGTGTATTCAAAACAAGAAATGATTAGTATTTTTTTCCTTTCGGGTCTCATAAATCGGAATACCCGTGTATATAACAACTATTTGTTGATACTACGAGGTCAAATTGAGATTAAGGAAAAAACCTGTTCTGTTGATTCATTATCAGCTGATCGTTCAAAAGCACAAAATAACTAGCTTACTGCAGGCCACGAGTAAAGTTTAGATTTTACGTGCGCTTCGGTGATTCCATCATCTGGTCTCATTGACCTAGATGGTTGGTTGGTTGGTTTCGGTTTAACGCCGCACTCATCAACATTCCAGATGTATGGCGGCGTTGACTTACATAATCTGTCAAAGATGAGTTGGGTAAAACACTGTCAGAATCTGTTTCAGTTACACCATAAGGTGGTGATAGCAGGAAAGTTAAAGAGACGAAAAACGTAGACGTTTAACACTTTGGTTGAACCACAAACACTATATATTTTTTTACATTAAATCGTTGCGATAAGAAAACTTGTTCTTAGTAATATTAATTTACGTATGGTGAGTGAGTGAGTTTAGTTTTACGTCGCCTTGGCAATATTAGAGCAATATCATGGCGGAGGGCACCAGAAATGCGCTTCAGACATTGTACCTGTGTAGCGAATCGAACCCGGGTCATCGGCTATATGCGCGAACGCTTTAACCACCAGGCTACCCCACCGCTCCAATTTACGTATGAACGTAAATTAATCGGTCAAAGATTGATTTTTAATGTTCACAACTGCACAAGTTGAACGATGTTCTTTATTCAGTTTAATGGGTAACCGTCTTAAACTGCAACCTGACGCCATCGGGGCCCAACACTTTATATTTGGGGGTGGGGTAGTAGTAGTAGCCTACGTAGTGGTTAAAGCGTTCGCTCAAAAGGCCCGGGTTCGATTCCCCAAATGGGTATAACATGTGAAGCCCATTTCTGGTGTCCCCAGCCGTGATACTGCGGGAACATTGCTAAAAGCGGCGTAAAACTAACCTCACTCACTTTATTCACGGTAAGGAAATAGTGAAATAGTCTGAATTCTTCCAAACTATCACACGCAAACATTTCCACCCTTTGGGATCGCTTACAACATCCGCTCACATAAAGTCACTGATGATATCCATCATTCACACTCATATGGGATGCCGCCGCAATTATTGTTCGGTGCTCAGCTTTTGATTGGCTCACACAACGACTGTAGATCGCTGATTGGACTGTTGCTTATCAACTCTCGGCAGGTGCGTGAAACAGTTCCATTTCTTCTTCGTCAACTATAACACATAAATAACTGACACAGATCATCTTAGGGTGGGAATATACTTTATTATTGTACAACTCAACTGACTCGTCAAGTCTCTTAAAAGCACCAAGAAAATCAAGTGAAAGGCCATTTTGTGCCCAGTTCATGACCACTGACCTTACATAGTATGTGGAATGCACTTGTAGTAAGTACAATACTTAATATGCATGCACAATCAAAGGAGGTATAATATTTACTGACACAAGAAAATCGATGTTAGACAATGAGAACATCACCATGAAAACAATTTGTGATATAAGTAAGCACCATCTTAGGTTAGGTGGCTTTTGAAAAGTTTAACGATCACAAGAAGAAAGAACATATGACCACCTCATGTATGTTTTTCCAGACAGCACTAAACACATGGCAAGGAATTCATACATCATGACAAAATTACCAGAATGTAATTAAAATATTTACACCATTTCATATCGGAAAATATATACAGTTTATTTCAATAATTTGTATTACAGATTAATTTATAACGTTCATTATTGCACAAGCTGAAAGATGTTCTAAATTCAATGCACGGGGACGAAATGAGTAAATATAATGAGTTGTTCCATAAACAGCCAGAAGAGAATCTAGCAAACACTAACAAAGGTATAAAGGGGAATTTATATAGTCTACCAATATATGGCCTACAAAAACACAATGGGCGTATGGCGACAAAGAAGTATCAACTAAAAGCATTAAATATGGCTAATATAAAACATATTTTCATAAAAGTAAAACGAATGGAAACCTCAAAACTTTTATTCTTATAAGAAACAAATAACTTTGTAACACCTGTAGCACTGACGTTGTAGGCATAAACCTGACATGTACACAATCCTAACACCAAGTGTAGACAGAAAGAAAATGCCAAAAGACGTTTACTTAAAAATGTACGAATATAAGCTGATGTAATTTGATTTCAACTCATGTAAACCACATCATTTAGTATCAATTCTGTAACATATTCTATGCAAAAATGTGAAAAACCATAGTGTCATCACACTTATCTTTCTAGTAACTGTAAAATATGACATTTAAGTCAAACTGAAACAGTATATCGTTTTGACATATTTTGGACAGGGTGGAATGATTAGGTCAAGGGAAGGACTTCGCATTTTTAGTTTGGTAGTTTATCACTGGCGTGCTTACAAGTTCATAATCACAGCTTTCATGTACGCTGCCGCTGTTAGTGACGCGTATGGCTGCCATTCCTTCTTTTGACCGTCGATATAGTCGCACATACCCCTGACGACGAGGAAGCTGTTACAGCGATTACCTTCAAGGGACTCCAACACGGAGTCATACTCTGCATCAAATGCCTTTACATTGTTCATTTGGGAGAAATCCTGCCTAAGGTCTTCAGCCCTCGCCACGATCTTGCCCGAACCGATGACGCCATACCGGATGTTCATCTGCCCTTCCCGATACGCACTTCCGTACATGCTCCGTGGGCGCGGATGCTCGTACTGAAGAACAGTGCCGTCCCGTTTCGTGGCGTACAGCTTATCTGTCGTAATGTTTGGCCTATGGAAGTTGGATTCTTCTCCTTTGAGTTTAGTTTTCCCCTCTTCAACATACAATTCCCAGGGTTTCGGCTCATGGGATCTCATTTCAGTGGTTCTGCGTAAGTCTTTGACAGCGCTTTGAAGAGTCTGGTCTCGCGAATCCCATGCACGGGTCATATAGCTATAGCCGTGTGATCCCTGGAGCCTCTCCACCTTCTGACAATACACGTACATAGCTCCACTGCTGTCGACCGGCATCGACACGACCACATCCCCGAGACGGACGTGTTTGGTGTAGTCGGTGTAGTGGGGAACGGCGCCACCACAGCCCACAATGAACACGTGATCAATTCTGCTAAATGTTCCTGAAACATGCAGTAATAATTAGATAGTAAAGTGGTGGAGTCAGGTTTATCGCTGCTTTTGACAATATTTCAGGTCACCGTTCGAAATAGCTACTGGCCCGCTAGCCAAATGCTATAGCTGATTGTGAATCGGGCCAGTAACATATTGTTCAAGCTATCCCGACTGGCAAGCTGAAAATCTAAGATAATGTGTTCTTTATATAATGCACATGACTATGATTAAGTTAATTAGTAAGGTGTTAAAAATCCGTCCGCAAAAGTTTCGTGATTTTTATTATCTCTTGTCACACGAAGATCGCTATATAAAAATGCGAATAGCATTGAGCCAAAGAGGTTAGGAACCATTACAATACAAATATAACGTTTGCTATCTTCAATTAGCAAACATCACACCAATTCTGACCGATGTGCATTTTGATATTGATATTTTGCAGGGCCAGTGAAGTATGATGTGGCCAAGTAACATTTTACTTAACTCGCCCCTCTGGCTAGTGACGTTTCAAAAATACACTGTTTCGCGTGTTTATGCAGCAGTGTAAAAATTGATAAAAACATTACGCGATGTAAGTCTTTGACGGTTAGCACTTTGTTAAAACCAGAAGCTCTGATATGGTAACGACGCACCAGATATAGAGTGAGTATGTTTCTACGCCGCATTTGGCAATAATTTATCTCATACGGGACACCGAAAATATGCTGCACACATGTTACTCAATGTACACATGTAGGGATACCAAACCAAGGCTACACCCCTCCCCCAACCCATCTCTCTCCTCCTTCCCCACTGCTCCCCACCAAGGACCAACCAGGCCGAATCTTCTACTCGAACCCACCCTTCCCATGCAGAGCTACCAAACCCTCCAATCCCACATTCAATTCGGAATAGTATTTTTAAACGGACTGGAAAAATTCCATATATCTAATAGCTCTAACACACCCCTACTTAGTCTTTAACGATATTACAACTTGTTGTTCGTGGCTTTATGTTGTGTTAGGGATGTTTACATTTCAGTCTTCAATTCAAGAACATGTCAAGACAAATTATTGAAATGATTGTATTTTCAGCTTTCCCCCCCTGAAATTGAGCTCACAAAAGACGAATAGCCTCTAATGGCCGCTAAGACATCTTAAAGCATTGTAATTCGCTTCAGTTTTTATGTTTAGAGAGCATTGTTTGTAAATATAAGTGCTGTCTATGTATGTCAAAAATTATACAATACGTCTTCCAGTGTTTCCACTGATCGTATTTATGACGAGATAACCTTCAACATGAGCCGAAGTAGTCTTTATTACTCCAGGTAGTGTATCCACACTTTAGGGAAGTCACTCGTCCTTACCTAACAGCCTTGTGACCGTGTTCTCTGCTGCAATCATAGCACCTTGTCCGCCCTGCAACCTCGACAGCTTGGTGGACACCACGACGAACTTCCCGATGCGCCCACACGTGTACACCTGGGACTCCCCTGTAAGAGTGAGTGAGTGAGTGAGTTTAGTTTTACGCCTCACTCAGCAGTATTCCATCTATATGGCGGTGGTCTGTAAATAATCGAGTCTTGACCAGACAATCCAGTGATCAACAGCATGAGCATCGATCTACGCCGCCATATAGATGGACTATTGCTCAGAGCAGCGGCAAACAACAAACAAACACAGCTATAGGAATAAAACCGAGGCCCTCAGTCTTGTGAGCGACCACTTCATAAATATTTGCTTCCTATTTTGACCTACGAGTGCTCAATACACGTTACTCTCTTCAAGCATTTACGGTATGCGGGTATAAGCGTAACTGTCAGCAACTGACTAAACTTTATGATACTAAAAAGCCCTGTACAAAAAGGGTCTTTGAGGACGTTAAATAACCCCTTTACTGTAGAACATTTCTAAAGAACATATATATTAATCTGCAATTACATTTCAGGTCTGTAACTACCGTATTTCATCTGTTTAACGTTACACGATGGGTATCAAAAACACATCGCCTCTAAATGACGTCGGCTCATACACCGTCCAAAACAGATGTCGGGTCTCTAACTGTGGAATGTGTGTGATTAATGATGACCGTTTGTACACTTTATTTAACTGTAGCATGTCGGATTCAGTGATGTAGTGAGTTTCCACTGCGCCAGCATTAATTAAAATTTATTGATGGCGTCCTATAGATGAAATACGGTAGTTAGCTTCAGTGCGTTCGTGGTATGCTTTACGTAAGTTCGTTCATAAACATGCGAAGGAGCTTTTCTGTGGATCATCGGAGACCATTCACATATAGCTATAAGGTTTCGAGCGTGTCTGGGCCATTTTGTTCCATGTTACTATGAAGCCTTCATATGTCAACGGTCTTTGTCCGATTTAATAATCTTCCAAGTCAGAAGCTTCCAATCATTTGATACGGCGCATAATTCAGAAATCAGCATCTGCTCTGTGTTTTGGATGGAGACAAGTCCAATCTGAACGCTATCAAAAGAATACATTAGTGTTAAAAAATATGCTCTCGGCGATCTCATTACTTTACAAAACCCGAATTTGTTCCAGTTAAGAGAAGCTTGGCAACTGGGAGAAGTGAATTTGTGAGATAATCGAATTGTGTGCTTTGCAGGTCAGTGCACAGCATGCTCCCATTCTCGCCGGCATCAGTGACGCACGGCTGCGTCCACAGCTACTCACAAGCTGCATATAATCTCCGTATTGAAAATGACACAGATGCAGGTGCCCCTGAAGTCTAAACACGACAGAAATATGGACTAGAAGGAAAGTTGATTTAAATGAAAAAAAAGGAGAAAATATTTAAACATGCAAAAATTATTAGAAGTACAGGAGCAGGAACAATGACTGACTGATCTATGAAGGGGCGTACACAAAATACAAACTGAAAACACGACGATTTTGATATAAAACTACGAGAAAACTACAACATTCGCAACAAACAAAACTTTCCAGTTGGTAAATGATGTCTGCCTAAAAATGAAACAAAAATAAAAAACCCATAAAAAATAGCTTGAACAAACACACTACCGACGAAATAAATCAACAAAACAATTGAGAATTCTTTTAAAACATAACTCACCAATGGTGGTGCCGCACCCTAGATGCATATATGTATACCTTTATATGTACATTTTCATATGTTAGAACATTGTGTGTATTATTGCTTGTTGGCAAATACGAAATTTTATTAAAATGTTTATATTTGGGGTTACAGTTTCTCAGTCAACTACAGATTCTAGTGCATTTATTGGTTGAGTCCCATCTGGAATTCTAACCCACACCCTAAGAGTCAGGCACATAATCGCCAACACACAAAGTTATTCTAAATGGCACTGTGTATTCCTAACGATTTTATTGTACTTTTTAGCTAAAAGGGTACAATTACTACGGAATTCTACGTAGGTGGTTCATCGGAAGAGAACATATCTGTGTACGTACTGAACGATTAGTGAGTGTAGAATGAGATTCCCTAATGGCATTACATGTTTTACGAAACATGAAAGACCAGTCTCATAATGATATGTGTAAGTATTATCGATGATAATGATGAGAACTGTGACGCTAATAAAGGATTGGTATGTGTAGGGGTTGGAACGGAGGGAGGCGGAGCACTACATGAAATATGACTTCTGCATGTTACACGTAAAAGGGATGGGTAACAATAGTTACAGTTAAGGGGCGTGGGTTTGGGGTAAAAAAGACAGTAACATGTCAATGAGTGAGTGAGTGAGTGAGTGAGTATGGTTTTACGCCGCTTTTAGCAATATTCCAGCAATATCACGGCGGGGGACACCAGAAATGGGCTTCACACATTGTACCCATGTGGGGAATCGAACCCGGGTCTTCGGCGTGACGAGCGAACGCTTTAACCACTAGGCTACCCACCGCCCCCACATGTCAATGGACGGGGTGGGGGCATGAACGACTGTTAGATGTAAACAGACGGGGTGAGGGCATGATAGAATTTTACATGTAAGGGACGTGGGTGGGGGCCTGAAAAAATAAGGTTAAATGGGGCGGATGGGTGGGAACCAGTGCCCCCCTTCCAAATTACCCATCCCTAATCGATGATCCACATCTCTAATATTAATACCTTTAGTGGGCCCCTATGGAATCTGTCCCTGACTACTTGATGCAATACGAGCCATGTTGTCGTACCCACCTTCAGTCTTGAACTTGACATATGTTGTTTTGTCCTCCATCATGGCGTCCACGGCAAGCTTCTCACAGAACAGGCCCGTGATGATGCCAATTGTCGGCTGCTCCTTCCCCGTCAACGTCGGCATCTCCTTCACCAACTTGATTTCTGGCGGGAAACACAACACACGTGATCATCTGTTGCCCTTCCACATGTACATGTATATCAAATACTTCTCTGTTTTGAAAGGTATGTTATATTATCCCACGATATATTAAGGTGATTTCTGGCGCCAAGCACACGGAATGTGATCATGTGTTGCTCAAACACATTTACATCAGACATTTCTCAACTTTGAAAGGAATATTTATATTTTACCACACGCCATACTACCTTGTTTTCTGGCGGGAAACACAATTTATGTAATCGTCTGTTATATAACCACATGAACATACACGACTCCAATCTGAATGTGCTGTTTCACCATGTACCAGTTGATTCCTTATGATATACACATGTGCGGGTGGTTAAAGCGTTCGCTCGTCCCGCCGAAGACCCGGGTTCGATTCCCCGCATGGGTACTATGTGTGAAGCCCATTTCTGGTGTCCCCGCCGTGCTAAATGCGGCAAAAAACTAAACTCACTCACTCATTCACTACACATTTGCATGTCTTTTTGTAAGATGGGTCGAGTTTGTTTGGCGTCCCTATAAACATATTTAAGTAGTGTCACAAGGTCAGCTAGGTGTGGATGGACGCTGAAGTAGAACAGATCGTAGACGCTTACTTCGTAGGTTTAAAGTCAACTATGTGAAGAAATACAGTATTCCTATTCCAAGTTGAGTAGCATTCAGCCGTGTTTCTGTGGACGGACTCTAGGTATTCTAGAGGGGGGAGGGGGAGTACCTTAGTGGGTATAGTTCGATTTCGATGGGTGAATATGTGGAAGGGCTGTGTCTGAAGATCCACCACCTTGATATTGTTGTATATATCTAAAGCGACGTAACAGCACACTCACGCATCATAGCTGGGAATGTTCCCATTACAAACGACACAAACTAATACATGGAAGCATCAATATATTGTTTTTCTTGAGACTTCCATAACAAACTGTTTAGAATCTTTGGAACGGCCTCGACTTTCAGAGACCGGTTTCAGCGGTTGTTCATGCCAATGTACGGAAATTGCAGCAGTTGGCGTGAGATCGATCGGTGGAAAGGGGCCTTAAATAACTGATACACCCTTCAGACCGAAGCAGGTGATACGTAACACTGATGAAGTACTGAGGTTGACGTGACCCAGGTGCCCGCTTCAAGTATACTACTCAAAGAAGTTAAAGATCACATGGTGGTGTTCCATGGAAGCTCCTAGCTATTGTTAAACGGTCATGCCATCTGATGTTCGTTAATTTCTTTTGAGCATTATGCCACCAGTTATACTAGGTTAATGTTACCTTCTGATGAATCTTCTAAACTCATATGGGGTTAAAAGAGTGAGTGAGTAACTGAGTTCAGTATTACTCCGCCTTTAGGAATATTCCAGCAATATCACGGCGGGGGCATCAGAAATGGGTTTCACACATTGTACCCATGTGGGTTATCGGAAATGTCATTATATTAATATATACGTTGACATATTATGAACATTAGTTTTGTACCATGGAAGGATTAATATTATCAATATCAACAGTGGAGTAGTATGTATAGCTCACACAGACGATGTGTGTAGTTAACCTGTGAGAGTGATATCAGTGTCGTTTCTCAGTATCCTATTATTTATTTGTAACAGCTGTTATTCTTGACAAGTTTCATCGTGAAATACATGTCGTTGTGGTGAATATAACTTATACATCTGTATATATGGTTTATATTGTATAGTGCCCCTATTTCATAGTACTCATGATGAACAGGAAGGTCAATATTGACAATATGTAACCCTCTGATTTAGCTTTAGCTGTGGAAGTGGATTCTGCTTTTGAAAATGGACTTTGTAGTAATTGTGTATCGTTATAACCATGTTCGGAATTGAACCATTATCGAATGCAAGGAAGCCTTGGCAGTAACTGTTGGCCTACCCCTCGCCTCTGGCATTGGTGCCAAACGTATCATGTTAGGCTTTCCACTTGGGACTATGAATCGACCTACTATTGAATGCCAGGACGGCAAGGACAGTGACTATTGGCCTTCTCCTTGACTCTGGCACTGGCAGAAAGTATCATGTTAGGCGTTCCGGATTTGGAATCGACCCACAATAGACAGCGTGGAAGTCAAAGGCATGACTACTGGACTACCCTGGCATTGCTGTAGCACGTACCGTGTTTGGCGTTCAGCTCGCCGGACTGTACCCGCATCCAGATCTCCTTCTCCACCTCCTGTATCAACCCCTTCTTCCGCATCTCATTCAGCATCACGACGGCGGCAATGCAGTCCGAGGACTTGATCTTACACTTCCTGAGAACAACAAGCTCAATGTTAACACGTGGACATGTGTGTGTACCGGAAGTAACGGTTGCTATAATGTCCCCTGCTCGGATATATACCACACCACCTATGATAGGGATAAGTCATATCTTTCCGTGATACACACAACTGATTCTCACAGAACACGGGCAGAAGAGAGTATACACTTGAAAATTGGATTTCATATAAAATCGATAACGTTCCTAGACTGAAAAGTGAGGTTTTCATCAGTATGACACATCGCCTATAATTTATAAGAAATTGATAAATACATCATCATTGGGTAACCATTTTGCGTTTCTTCCTTTTTCAGCCTACTTCCATTTGCACGTCAGTTTTTTTGTCAGTTCTATATTTAAATAAATATAATTATCCCTGTCAAATGTTGAATAGTATATAAGTATATTTTCTGAAAACATGATTTGGATACTAGTTAGATAACTACATAACATAAGTAATTGGTTTGAGTGATTATTGTTTTACGACGCAGTGAGCAATTATCAGTCGATTACCACAGTCGCATCTGTATTATCGAGTCCAAACTACTGTTTAATGGCATGACCATCGACGATTATCAGAGACAATCAAGCAGGTCACACAACTATCACAACGGCACAACATCTTCATACTGATCTGCCGTGAAATTCCTACAACAGCAAACCATGTTTGCCGTAAGGGGCGACTAGTAGGATCGGGCAGTCAAGCTCGCTGACTTGGTTGACGCAAGTCATCGTATTCCAATTGCGTAAATTCATGCTTATGATGTTGATCACTGGATTGTCTGTTCCAGACTCGATTATTTACAGACAGCCGCCATTTTGCTGAAATATTGCTGAGTGCGGCGTTAAACCAAGCAAATACTAGTCGGTATAATGCAGTGACCACGTACTGAAGTAGTTCCGTCACAGGCACAGGGTTGGGGTAAGCATCCTCCAGACAACTGAGCATGCGCTGTTTCTTTGCCAACCACAGCAGGCTCATCCGGATCTTCTCCCTCTTCCTGGCGCGTTCCTTGTCGTAGTTTCCTGGCAATCATAAAGTAGAACTAAATTATTTACGTCCTTTGCTTAATATGAGGATACGTTCCTGCATCCACCAACACCAGCAGTGGAATCTCTTCGCGTTTAGAACAAGCGTGGGTCAACTAGTGCAAACCTGAAATAAATCCATATCAGCAAAACATGTTTGAGGACAAATATTTAATAAATCGATAAGTCAATCTTGACAATCATCATTACTTGCCATAAGATGTGAAATATGTGAAGACATAATTAAGACGTTCTACGAATATATACATCTAACATTGTTATTCAATAGTAAATATTTGCCTGTATTATATTACAATGTAACACCAAATAATTTGAACCACGATCTTGATAGAATAAAGAGAACAACCATGAACGAGCAATCCAAAAACTGGCCTTCTATAGTAAAAAGATCCACACAAAGGTTTAAGAAAAGTGGGACAAGCAGTAAGAACAACAAAAGACAAGACAACGACAGATATCAGTGTTAACTATAGCAGGTTCCGTGCAAACTCTGAATTTTAAATAAATAGCAACATCCCTCATGAGACTTAATATGAAACATCCATGATATTATATTGATAAAACGTTCAACGAAGTAGATAGATTGGAATTTATTAATGTAGAATCACATTCTTCCAGAGACTTACAAACTGGGCTTTACTGTAAAGAAGTTCTGCACACACACGCGCAAACATACACAAACAGTGCAAAGTTAAGACAACATAACAAAAGGATGTCATGAAAAAGAACAAAAAAACAGAAGAAAAACTTACAAAAAGGAAAGGACGTTAATAGTATATAATTTAAGTAGTATTAATCTTAATCGGAATAAGTAGCCTTTATTAAAGAGTTAAATAATATGTTATTATTAGCAAAATGTTTTAATGCAAAAAGTTACGTTTGAGTCCAGGAAATAAAATCGTTTAGCACATCTAGGAATGAATGTCAAAGACACGTCTGGAAAAATACACGAAAAACACCACAAAAAACATACAAAACAGAGAAGTTCGACACTGAAAATACAACGTAACCGTCAGTTCTAGTGTACAGCATAGATGTCATTGCAGGAGTGGTTTGGAATGTCACAAATATTTAAATCATATATTTATGGGCCTGTTTGACGTCATCACTTCTATGACTTCATAAAAATGACTTCAACTATACTATCCATAGTATGATTACGTATGTATCAAGTATCAGCGATGGTCTAGCCATATAAATGAAAAATATGACTATTAGCATATACTTTATAAGCTGTTTTTGTGTTACGATTTTCAGTGTCGACCCTGATCATCTGTAAGGCACAGAGAAAGACATGAAGCGGGTACGCCTCGAGGGAGATATGAGTGTTATCTACCTGAGTAGGTTCTCCATTGCGGCAACTCGTCTGTGATTGAACGATACAGGTTGAAGAGAAATAGAACATGAACTAAATAAGCCATGCCCATAGAATTACCACTACATCTTACCTGCATGTAGTCAGTACAGTATAAAATTAACTCAACCCTAATGGACGTACGCAATAGAGAATATTTAAACTTTAAATATGATACATTGTAGCGTCAAATATGCAAAGAGTATGTGTGTTGCTTTACAATTAAATTCAAGTTTACTCCGGGTGTTGAATAAAAATGCTCAAGTTACGATATCGTTATTTACATAGGTAGTGACTGTTTATGAGTGACACATATTTTGTCATTACTTAAAGCACTAATGAGATACCTTTGAGTCAACCATGCAACTATATACTTCTACACTATATAATCCGATTTTGGCACACATACAGTTTTTACCTTTTCTTTAACCTTCTCCATATTAATAAACCTAATTCAGTCTCATATGATAAATACAATTTGTATAATGATAAATACAATTTGTATACTCTTTCAATGGGCAAGAGATTTTGTTATATGCCACAACCAGCACCACTTGAACCTTAATTTCGGCTTCCTGTAAATAACCAGGCAATCTATATAAGATATAGAGCCTGAGTTAGGAAACCTACTGGCCGACAGCATGAGCAAATATTCGCGTCATCAGATCAGAATGACAGAAAATCAGCCAAGTGACCACAAAATCCTCACTGGTCGACATTTAAGACAAGTACGGTATTTAGTTGCTTAGTTTAGTACGGAATTCCGGCAGGAGATGTTTCCGATTAACTGTTCAATATACACCACGTGAGCATTGAATAAATAGATAAATATAAATATTAACAAGACGCTATAAAGAAATCATGTACGCACCTAATATTTCTGCAAACTCCCACTGGCCCTTCGAAGCTCGCCCAGTCGACAAGGCCATGCAATTTATGTTGAACTGTTTGTACACCGGAAGTTTGTATTTCAAGAAGGTATTTTTCCCATAGTAAGCTCCCCTGCCGACTTCGATCATGTGATCCTTCCAACTGACCCAAAAGAACCGGAAGTCGTCTTCACTGAGCAGGCCTATTGTGGTTGCCTCCGCTTTGATGGCGCCCATGGAGCCGTCCCGGATGTAGGATTTAGTGTTGTTTTCTGCCCCCAAGACGATCTCGTGCGTCTTTCTGTCCACGTCGCCGTACACAGCCGACAACGCGAGGAACGCGTCTCCCGCGGCCTTGATCTTGAATGTGATGAAGTTCTTGTTGTTAACTTGGACTTCCGGTACAAACTGGTAAGCATAGGTGCTCGGTGTGAACACAGAGGTGAAACTCTCTGAAAGCAAAACAGTCAAAATCCATACATTCATAATGAGAGAGCACTGTGAAATGTGTAAGGAAAATACAACCACGGCTATAGCCTAGGTCAGACTTTGATGCAAGGTTCTGATTTTTGAAGTTTTAATGATGTTCGTCTTTTATGTTAGATATGTGTGGCTGTATGAAACAGCAATCACACCATAACGTATATTTCCATCACTCTGTATAAATTGGCATATGATGACTTTTACACAATAATCAATAGACGTAATGGTTACTATAATATGACGGACGATAATATAACTAGACAGCCGTTAAAAGGGCATGTATTGTAACATATGTCATATTTTTGTTTACACTTTTTCAGTAAAGAAGGGAATCCAGTAATTTTGGGGGTTGATTAATATTCGGCACCTAATCGCTATGACACAAAGACTGCGATCCAACCCACTCAACCATTGCGGCTTCCTAAAAATGTAAGTCAGACAAGTAGTCCAGATCAACATATATTCCCATGATGTTTTAGGACAGTTTTTATAAGCTCCTTATATTGGTACTTTTTTTACTTTATATTTGGTTTACTGAAAAAATATGTCTGCAGAATTACGCCCAAGCTCTATGAAATATTGAAATAAGAATATTTAACAAAAGTATTTAAATTACACTGATGAAGATTACATTTATAAAGGCAGTCTTGTTCCATCGCCCGACTGCTATAGCAAGACCTTAACCGTTAGTGCGAAACTATGCTTGGTTGAGTGGTATCTCTGTGTGACATGTGAGGTCGTAGACAGCATTAACTCGGGAGAATACACCAACTTTATTACTGCAAATTGCCAGGCGAATGTACTTACATTATTGACAGGGCCACTTCAGACATGGCCATTCAAATGTCTAGTGTCAAATCTAAAGTAAACCGCCATCTACTTACGAACTGGTGGGATGTCTTCATCTGGTTCTGACTCTACGTTCTGCTTGACCTCAAGCTCCACACGTTTGATCAGTCGGTAATTCTTCAACAACACTAAGGCACGCTTAACGAAACCAATGTAATCTGAAACATTCAAACCAACTGAATGACAAACCTGTAAAATGCTATAAATGAACCCTTTAATAACAGACTGAGGCTTCATGATATATAGCAATAAAATTGTGTTCCACCAGCCATTGTATTACCTTGTAGAAGCTGGACCTTGTATACTACAGGCGAATAAAGCAAATGCGACATTTAAAACTGAAATACCTTTGCAACCTTACTAACACAACTTTACAACATTCACACGTGTGGGTTCCAATTACGGACATAAATTCATTTTTTCTGAGAGCTATAGTTACAGAACAACCAATTGCACCAACTTTTAGACAGAGTCCCAGGTGCCACAAGTTCCTGGAAGTAGTCTGTGAATGTCTTCTTTTTCTGCACCCCATCAGCCGATCCCCGGAACCAGAACTGCAGCGTCCACAAATCCTGAAATGTGGACAAGTGAGAGTGTTTTTGTCCATTTCCCAGCAATATCAGGAATTTGAACATCAGGACAATATGCACACATTCCCAGATAGCATTCGGACGTTGGCCCCATGTTGGCAATGTTGGCAAAACCATTGCCAACATTGGGCCAACGTCTGAATGCTATCTGGGTTGTACTAATGAAAGGATGCGAACCGGAAGGACGCTTAGATCGCTATGATGCCCAATATTACTGGATCCTGTAGAATATGGAACGTGGTTATACGAATGGTTCACGGTTTCACATGGCAAATCGTTTAAAGAATTGTCAACGCATGATCTTTCAATAAAAACACAGGGTTATCCATATCATTCGTGTAGTCTCACAATCGTAAATACATAGCTCAGACTGGATGAACACATATGTATCCTTTTATGTTGTATGTAAGATGTCATCTTTGAATCAATAATCGTTTCAATAGCACGTGTCTTCACTGAAGTCAGACGGAAATGACGAAGCCCGGGGGATACTACACATTGACGCTGTCGGTTCCGGGTATTGATTACTCAATAACAAAACAATCGCAATTCTCAACAAACAAATTGTTTTGCCTCCTACTTAACGCCCATTGCAAATTACATCTTATACTGAGTAATTTAATCAATTACGGAATCAAAACGATGAGTTGCACTGACTTTATAAAAGCGGCAACAAATACATGTAGAGTGCTAAGGAGCCATTTTCTGCACATAATGCCCATTCATATGGCATACTTGTGTGATACGCTGATATCAGTGGTGTAAATATACTGTTTTGGGGACGTTTGCCGCACCTGAAAGCAGGTGTCCATCTACCTGTACCGTTTTAGTTTACCCTTATTCTTGATAACAAACAGTTTAACACGCCTCAGAGGGCTACGTCTACTTGTATTGTTCTCTATGACATTGTTCATTTTGATTGACAATGTTTGACGAATCAAGTAATGGGTGTTATCCTTATCTGTATCGCGTCTCGCCGACCCTCAGTCTTGATAAGGACAGCCAGCTTACCTGTACAGGATCTCTATGACCCTTTGATGAACGCGATAAGAGCTGTTAACCTTACCTGGCTGACCCTCATTCTTGTTCGATACACTTGAGAGAAGGGTTAAACCTACCTGTACCGGTTCTGTGTGACCCTTATTCTTGTTCGACACACCTGGGAGTATGGTTAAACCAGGAGAATAGGTTATGTAGTGGATTATCCCTGGTTAAACCTTCCTGAACCGGTTCTCTGGGACCATTCCTCTTGTACGATACACCTGGGAATATGGTTTAAACTTACCTGAACCGGCTCTCTGTGACCCTCATTCTTGACGAACAGGTACGCCATAAACTCTACCCTCCCTCACTCGGCTGGACGGACTCCAGTTCTGTGAAATTACAGATTGTACATTAAACACGGCGTATACCAATTACTGACAATTTACCTTTACAAAGTGAGTGAGTGAGTGAGTGAGTGAGTGAGTTTGGTTTTACGCCGCTTTTAGCAATATTCCAGCAACATCACGGCGGGGGACACCAGAATTAGGCTTCACACATTGTACCAATGTGGGGAATCGAACCTGGGTTTACCGCGTGACGAGCCAACGCTTTACCCACTAGGCTACCCCACCGCCCCACCTTTACAAATGGTATATGAGTGTATAACATGGGTATGATGGTATGTCACCTTGTGAACCTTTTAACGTAACCATATAAGTGAGTGAGTGAGTGAGCATAGCTTGAAGCCGTTTTTAGCAATATTCCAGCAACATCTCGGCGGGGGACACCAGATATGGACTGGAACCAAACTTACTCACCATTATCGATCTGTCTTATCCCTGAATGTTAACCTACCCTCAGCTGTCTTACTGACGAGTATGCCCTTGTAGGGCCCTCCGGCGATGTGGTGGATGTTGTTAAAGTTGATGTCTTCCTTCTTCATCCTCTCAAGCCTCATCATGGCGCGGCCATTCTTTTTCATCGCCGTCATCACGATTTCTGAGACGTAAAAGTTACATATAAATAACAGGCGAATCGTCACTCAGTAGTTTGCCATTTGAAACTAATGAACTCTATTTCTATATGTATTTCATATTTCTTGATGTTGCTACCGAGATGACAAATGGATGAAACAGTATAGCCATTACAATCGAGGGCCAGGAACAGAGGCTCTATTTCTTGTTTCATGTTTCTGGTCACACGGTCGATTAAAAATGACCCCCCAAAAATCGAGAGTCAATTAATTAAATCCGTGTACCCAAATTGGAGCTGCCCAAAGTTTTAAAACCGATTAAAGAAAAACAAAATGTCAAAGAAAAGATCTAATCAGTTACCTACATAACATATGAACAGACTGATGCCAGTTGGGAGTATACCCTTGTTTTAGCGTTACGGAGATGATAACTACTGCAGGGGTATAAAACAGATTAATTTAGAATACATTAATCTGTATTTTTCAGTCTTGTTCCAATAAAACTGACTGGTAGAAGAAAGTATATATTTGAACATGTTTTACTAAACGATTACAAACGTTATCAGAATGTTACTTGGTTGAAGACTGCTGAAAAAATGCAACTGCAAATTAAAGTTCCAAAATACACCTTTGATACTTGTAACGGCAGAAACATATTGCCCTTAGGTGAGTGAGTGAATTTAGCTGCAATAGTCCAGTTGTCAGGACACGCAGTAAACCAAAGAGCCCGGCCAATCGGTTTTCAGTTTTAACCGATCTTACCAGTCATGGGATACTTTAGACCTATTCTGCGGCAAATCCTCCCAGTGACGTCGCCACAATAAATAGTACCCGGTATATAATTAGCCAGTTGAACCTTCACAAACACCATGTACGATTTTAACCAGTGATTCAATACCAGGTTGTCCATGTCCTTACGCTATGTTGACTTTGTTGACACATGTCATCGAATACCAGTTGTGTAGATCGATGCTCATGTAGTTGATCACTAGATTGTCTGGTCAAGACTCGATTATTTAGATGGAATACTATGCAGCGTTAAACAACTAACAAACCTTGCGCTATACTGTCAAAATGAAAGATAAATATGAAAATGTCATTTTCAGCCCAAAAAATACTAAATCTTAACATATAGGGTTTTTTTTAATTAGTTACCCTCTTTGTATAGAGTGAAGAAATATTGAAATGAACTCTGACACCAATCTCTTATACATGTAGTCTGAATGATGAACCACGAATGTAATGATCTTTATGTCATCCACAAACATAATTAGATGCAGTAATGAGATAGTGTTTAATAAACAATGCCTATCACCTGTTAATAAGGGGCAGTGGGACAGCTTAGCGATGAAAGTGTTCAGTCGTTACGCCAAATTTACTTTTGAACAAGCGCGGATTGGGACCTGTGATTTTATCGCTTTGTGTGACAAGTTGACATGTAAGTGCACTTTAATCTGTGGGCAACCTGCACCATGTCTTGGTACATTCTATCTGACATTTGCCAAGGGACTGAATGAACAAAGGAAGGTCAAATGTTATCTTGCCACTCCAGAGCTCCACATAGCGCCCAACATATGCCACGCCCACGTCCACCCACGTGGGCTACGTTCCTTTTATGTAATATATACTTGCATTTAATTCCTCCCATTTAACAAAGATAAAGACTGGAATTATTAAAGGAACCACGCACATTCTCCGTACGCCATGGTTGAAGTTTTAGTCGATAAAAAACGTTAATAAATACACAGAACTAGACAATCCTCTCAGACGGATTTCATAATGTCGGGTGACTTTTAGGTAAAGTTATAAGCTAAGTCATAATGCAAATATTGACATGTCACTTGACCTGTGCCTTATCCGCCGAGAGAAAGCTTTTCCTTGAAATGTGTGTGGGATGTGAGGCTTGCACGCTAACGCGTAACAGTAGAATGTTTATTGTTCTATCACAATATACCGTCATGGCCACACCAGTGTTTGTGGTCAAAGCCTTCGCTCGTCACAACGAACACAAACAAAGTTCGACTCAATGAAAGGGAGTAGTATGTGACGTCAGTTTCTGACGTTTCCTGAGTATTGCTGAGAGCGGCGACTAACTGTACTCACACACCCGCTGTACTCCCTACTCTAGAAATAACCAGGACACGCACACAGTGGTACAACTATATAGAAGTCTACGCTGTAGGCGCCTTAATACGCCTTAAAAAGTTTTTGATTACTTTTTATTCATGTGCATTGTCCGTCTGAAATGAGATATATGGTCAAAAAGAAACAGACTCACATTAATCTGTGCCATGTACGTGTATAGGAAGAAATGTACAGTGCAATGAATAATGAATAAATTTGTCCTTTCTGTGACATTGATCAACGGAAGTCACACCCACGAACAACGACACGGGTGTGACAAGGCATATTTGTTGAGGCTTTATTCTTTATCGATTATTATCGTCTTTAGAAGACTATTTAAAATATATTAATCCATGTAGTTGAACATGCATTGACATGATTGTGTTTCCCTTTCTCCAGTGCAGGTAGGCCATTAAAATAGCATTGAACATTATCTGTATTTTGACTGTGTCTTGGTTAATTCTATTCAGCTCCTCGGTCATGGCTCGGATGCACTTTGTTGTATTTTGAAAATGGAGGCTACAAAAACCATTCAGTGGAAATTGTATAAATGGATCACTGGAATTAGTGATGATACCTATTGTTTATACGAGTAAATGCCTTGTCTATTGTGTGATGAATGTTTATGAATTAAGTCAGTTATGAACCAGGTGCTCGTGAAATGATGAGACTATCTTGCCCCATTGGAGCACTCTCTTGTCATATCTACCCGTGAAGGTCAGGGTTAGAATATTGATCTTCAGTAACCCATGCTTATTGTAAGAGGCGACTAACGGGATCGGGTGGTCAATATCGCTGACTTGGTTGACACATGTCATAGGTTCCCAATTGCGCAGATCGATGCTCATGTTGTTGATCACTGGATTGTCTGGTCCAGACTCGATTATTTACAGACCGCCGCCATATAGCTGGAATATTGCTAGGTGGGCGTAAAACTAAACTCACTGATTCGATCACTCTCTTGTCATATCGCAATATGTTCCTACAAACCTCACAGTCACAGTTTTGTTCCCATGTTTACTTTTGCAGATAAAATCCAGTTAAGATTTATGACTCTAACGTGCAACTGTGCATGAACAAACGTTCCAGTTAACTCGAGAAGATCCAGATTAGGACTGAGCCTCAGCTGCCCATACTTTCCCTTAGATGCGACTAACTGTCTTAGGTGGTCAGGCTCGCTGACCAGGGGCTCCTTTCACGAAGCAACCTTTACTAAGGTTAACCTTAACTCCCATTCTTTAACATTGCACTAAGTTTACCTTAGTGACTTACGATCACCTTAGTGCTTTGTGAAAGGAGGCCCTGGTGATGTATGTTATGGTATTACACTTGTGTAGATTGATTCTTATGATATCTATCACTGGATTGTCTGGTCCTGACTTGGCTCCCATTTACAGACCGCCGTTATACAGCTGGGATATTTCTGAGTGCAGATTCAAACACAAACCAACCATGCAAACACTGGTTCACTTCATGCTTTAAGAATTAAGGAATCCAAGCTGTTCGAGTATGTATGTCGGAGGACAATTTCCGATAAACGTTTCGGTGTCATTCATAACTTCACCCGGACGTTGACTAACTATAGCGGAATGTTGACAATAATCACAGCCACAATTGCTATTGCCATTCACCTCCTACAGAAATAGCTCAACTTGTAATAGTAGTAATGCTCGGTCATGTGAAAAGTAATTTGACATTGAAAGAACTGGAAAACATCCATTTCTTGGAGGGGGAAGAGGGGATGTTTAAATTAATTGTTTGATATAGTAGGTCCATTTGGTTTAAGATGGTATTTCAGACTCAATGAGTTAGATAAATCAAACTGGTTTTCCTTAAATTGTTAAAAAGAACGAAAAGCTTTTAACTATCAGATCCAAGAAGAATCTTGTGTTAATTTAACTTAATGTTAAGCGTTATTGTTAGCCTGTTAAGCATGCTGTATATATATTTTTAATGCATAAAGTCCTCATTTATACACATGTGTAAAATATGTGAGGGGACCACGCTAATCTAAATAAATAATTAATTCAATAAATATATAAACAGCTATAAATCATAATGAATGACAAATAAATAAATAAATAAATAAATAAATAAATAAATAAATAAATAAATAAATAAATAAATAAATAAATAAACATGGCCAGTATTATATACTAGCCACATAAAGAAACTGTGCATTGTCAAAATATTATCCCAGTTGATAAGTACGATAACAATGTCAAAGGTACATATAAACTTTAATGGAGGGATCATGAGATCATAACAAGTCGGGAGAATTTCAATTGAAAAGTCAATCACAATGACGTCACGAGTCCACAAGCGGGACAGGGGTCAAACGACCATGTCACAAGCTCAATAACGGGTATGTCCACCATCGGCATTGAGAACAGCAGTGCATCGACGACGCATAGAGCCTATCAAACGTTGTAGGAAAGCTTGTGGGATGTCACGCCAGATTCTCTCAAGTTCTGTTGCAAGGGCAAGGACGTTATCTGGCGGATGAGGAAGACGGCGTAGACGTGGATCCATCTCGTCCCAAACATGCTCTATCGGGGAGAGATCCAGTGAATTTGCAGGCCAAGGCAGTAAGTCAACGTTGTGGTGTTGCAAGAAATCCATAGCAAGCCTTGCCGTATGAGGGCGGGCATTGTCCTGTTGGAATGTTTAACCCAGGGCCATGACGTTGCAGAAAAGGAATTGCCACAGGTGGAAGAATCTGATCCCTGTAGCCCACACCAGTTACGTTGCCCTGAACAATCACCAAAGGAGTTCTTTGGCGTGCTGTTATTCCACCCCAAATCATCACGGAACCACCACCAAAACGATTCCTCTCCAAGACACAGGCCTGTGCATTACGTTGTCCCACGCGTCTATAGGCACGTTGATGTCCATCACTATG